AGTGGCAAAGTATCTAACATGCTGAGCTTGACTCTGAGCCCAGTGGACCCATCCCTTACTTTTCTACTGTAAATTTGTGCTTTAATGTAACAGTAGCCAGCTGGGCATCTCCATACCTTTCCATGAGAGATACTGGAAGCAATCTACGTGTTTACTCACTTGGTATGATGAACAGCAAGGTATGTGCACATGTGCAAAAATGACAAAATGGGATATCGGCCCACGTTACACTGTTTCTGCATATATTTACCCGAGCATCACAGTGGGTCCAACAGACACATACCACTCCAGGATTTGTTTTAAAAAGTTTTCTTGGGCTGGGGATTTAGCTCTGTGGTTCTGCCAGCTGCCTCACAAGTACTAGGTCCTGAGTTCAAACCCCAGGCCTAAAAACTAAATTTAAAAATTTTTAAAGTTCTCTTTTTATTTTTTGGTAGAAGTAGCCCAATTCAGTTCATTGGCTTTCAATTTAGACATGTATCCTGAAGCTCAGCCATCAGGTCGGCCCTTATTCACATAATAATAAATGGAATGATGTTGTAACAGACTTGTTGCTCACATCACCCAAACTAATCAGAAAGTGACATTCAACAATTGGCTTACCAGTTTCCAATTGATGATACATTTGCTAACAGAGCACAAGTTGGCCAGTACAGGAAATGTACACAGGAACAAAGCAAAAATTCCAAATAAAATGTTGCATTTTCCAAACAGAATTGTATAGTATTATCGTTGGAGTTCAGAAAGATTTATACAGGCCTCATATATGGCAAAGAAAAACAAACTGGTACTGCTGATGTTAACATCGCACCAAGATGAAAATATCGATAGGGAAACTTGGACAAAACAGAGAGGCCTGAGATGGTAACTTTCTACAACAAAAGTAAAGATGGAGGAGATGTTGTTAATGAGTTATGTGGCAACTATGATGTTACTCAGAACACAAAGCATTAGCCTGTAGTTATTTTCACTTGATCCTAAACGTGTGGCATAAATAGTTTGATAGTTTACAAAGATAACAAGTGCAAAATACCAAGGAGAAAATTTCATAGAGGACTGGGAATGGAAATCCTAAGCGGTCATTTACAGCAGACGGAAAACAGAACTTTTGTGTCCAGGAAACTATGCAAAAAAATTAGAGAGCACACTGATGACCATGGAGGATGAGCAGCACAAAGACCTATTACCACAGCAGGAAAATCAAAAAGAGTCAACTATGCCCTATAAGAAAGGACAGGACAACAAAACATACATGGTATCAATGCAAGCGATACTTGTGTTTGGAACATGCAGTTGTCAAGTGTGAAGACTGACTTGGGCGTGACAGTTGAAGCTAAGATTATTTCTGTGGTAGACTTTTGCTTCTGTTTACACTGTAGTTCACATAGGTTTTTATTTCTGATGCTATCTCTCTGGTTTTGCAAGCAAGTAAAGAGCTGATGTGAAATGCTGATGTCTATTCTAAGCACTCATTAGGTGTTTGATATTTTATTTTATTGGTATCTTATTTCCCTGTTATGTGCATGTTGCACAATGTAGCAGGAAGTTCCTGACAAAACAAGAATACAAGAGAGGTGAGAAGAATGGCCTGCCACATAGGAAGGAAAACTAAGCACATGTGCTGTCAGTGTAAGCTAGATGTGTGCATGGAACATGCAGTTGTCATGTGTGAAGACTTCCTTCGGTGTAACAAATGAAGCTAAACTTATTTTTGTTGCAGAATTCTATTAGTATTTTCATTGTAGTTCATACAGGAATTTATTTCTAATCTTATCTTTCAGGTTTTGTAAGCAAGTACACAGCTGATGTGAAAATGTTGATGTGTATTCTAAATGCATAATATATTAAGAATTCACTACCTTATTTTAAGGCTTATTTTCAGCCCATAACAAGGCTACTTGTAGTATGAGTTTTACAAAGTAAGCAATCAGGTATGATTGAATTTGCTTTCCACTAGGGAAAAAACACAGTTCATTTTCTACATTAACAAAGTGGAAGTAAAGTTCTACCTCTCTAACATTACCATCTAAAACTTCTACATCATTATTAGAATAAGCTAGGAATACACCACCAAGCCAAACCAAACCGGACAAGGCCAGACCAGACATATCCTGCATGGACATAACATGCCATAGCATGTTCCTTTGAGGCCCTTTCTCAGAAATATTTGCTTTAGTTACAGCTTTTGCCCACTTTAGGAATCTTGGATGAAATGGTTAGATTTTTATTAAAGGGTTCTCTTTTTTTCTGATGTTAATAGTTGTGCCTTTAAGTAACCAGACATTTGCTTTTAGGTCATTTTTATTACTTATCCTGCCATCGATGTTACTGTTTATCTTTTAAGGTTAGTTGTTTTAAATCTTCTAGTTTTTTTTTAAAATTCTATTAATTGCCTTTGTCTGTGTTCTCCACTTTAAAATCTACAATGCTACATGCAAAACTGAAAAGCAAAATTCACTAATTTGGAAGATAACAAAACTGTATCATTTCGAGAGAACTCTTTCTTGGTCTAGAATATAGACCTACGTTTATGTGGCATCCCTCATTACGTTTACCTTGTTCATCTACCACTTTAACAAGAGTAACATCAAATCAAGATTTCTTCACTGCCTACTAGAAAAATCTGCAGCATGTAGTAGATCATGAACTAATACTTGTTGTATTGGTCACTCTCAGTTAATGTCCAAACTTTCCAGGCTAGAATTGACGGCCTCCCCTCTTTGGTCCCAACCTAATTTCCTCAAACCCTTGCTCTGCTTTAATTACACCAACATTGTCTCCTGAACATGCCGTATACCTTGCTATAGCACCTCGTTTGTTTTGTTTATACTTTACAACAAAATCCATCACCAACAAGCCACCAGCCTGCCTTCTAGTTCTAGTTCAAATGCCACCTCCTACATGGAACCTTCTTTAAACAATCTGGTAGTTTTCTTAAACTTTTTCATATTTTAAGTAAAACAGATGACTTTTATTTCTCTGGCTTTGATTTCCTACTAGATCATAACATCCCTGAGGGTCTACTATCCTGTGTGTGCTCGTCATATGTTTTACGTAGTCTGGCAAAATGGCTTTATAGCAGAGAGTTCTAAAAACTAGTCTATATATTGCACAAATGAGCTTTAATTATTATAGAATTAAATCTTGATCTTGATGGAGAGCTAAGAACTTGACTGAGTCTCATGGCAGAATACTAGGTACTGTAATTTGCAATCACACTGTTTGGATTTCAAGAAGCCCTACAAAATCTATCTTTCTCAGTGAGGAAATCAGAGCTAATGAATTCATTTGACCTGATCTGTCACTGTTGGTCCCAAAAGGTTTTGAAAAATACTCAGGAAAAGGAGGTCTTGGGCATTAGAAGAGCACTGGTTCAAATGAAATATAGGCATCTACTTGTACATTCTTCATGCGCTGAAATAAATCAAAAAATGTCATTAAGTATGAAATGATAAAGTCAAACAACGCATGTACAACTATGTGCTCTTTTTTAAAGAAAGCATAATACCTTTGTTGGATTTTGAGCTAACTCTGTTCATTTCAGAATAGTCTGAATTATAAAAGGAGCAATTTTTAAAAATGAAGAACCTCAAAAACACTGTTAAGTAAAAGAAGTCAGAAACAAAAGACTATGGATTGTATGCTCCTAGTTTTATTAAATGCTCAAAAGAGGGCAAATCTATTGAGACAAATAGTTATCAAAATTTGCTAGGGATTCAGAGTGAGTACAGGGATCAAGTATGAATAGGACGAGGACTCTTACTGGAGAAATGAAGTATCCTCAGAATGGGCTATGGTGATGGCTATATAACTTAATAAAACAAGGTTACAATTAATGAATCCTGCAGTATGTAAATTATACCTCAATAAACTGTTTAAAAATGCAACAAAGACCGGGGATTTGGCTCAATGGTTCTGCTGCCTGCCTTGCAAGTACAAGGGGCCGAGTTCAATCCAGGGTACCAAAAAAAAAGAATAAATAAATAAAAATGCAACAAAGCAAAAGCAACTATTAGTAATGAATGTGCTTCAGGCAGAAAAAAGTAGCCCATTGTAAGCTCTAATGTAAAGAGAGTTGAATCACTATACCTTAATAAAAAGTGAGAGGAAGCCTTATAACATTTGTGGATGAAAATAAAAATATTAGCAAACACTGAAGTTCAATCAGGCTATATTCTTTCAATATGTCTCTTCAAAACAAATATATATTCTTCAAGCAACTCAACCTCAAAATTAACAGCTGCTATTACATGCTGGCTATTTAATGTAAATTAAATACTTGTTTTTATTGCATGAGGACCAAAGGAAGGCTTTTAGTTTTTCTTTTTTTGGTTCACAGCAGTTTCAACAGGAATATTAATTTAACAGAAGGAGACAGTTTCAGACGCGAGTACCACACCTTCTTCTTGAGTGCACTATCATGTCGCTCAACTAAACAAGTGAAATGTAACACAAAGCATTCAAATTCCATTTTGTAGCAGCAGCAAATGTCCTTCTTTAATAAAAGTGAAGTACCCACTCACAAAACTAAAAATGTATCAGGAACTTTCCATAAGCCCCACATGCTGCAGGGTACCCGCTGGCTGCAGTCCACCCCATCAAACAATGAGCTCAAGGAGCTCATGGTCTCACTGGTGAAGGCTGCAGACAGTGCCGTGCAGTAAGTGCCCACTACCAGGGGAGTGACAAGGTCAGATGGCTCACATCTGTCAAATGACATGACACCCAGTTAGGTGTCAATGGCACACGCAAGGTACAGAATTGACTGCATCGTCAGTAAGTTATATGGTTTGAAATTAATTGTTAGACTGCTTGATAAAACATACCCCCCCTAAAAAATCAACAAGTATGAGAAGCCTTATATTATAATTCTTTAAAAAAGTTTCGGGTGGGAAGGCAATGGTGGTAGGGCAGATTTAAATTTCAAAGTCCAGTATAATGTTTTCTTCTATCCTAAGAAATTAAAAAAAAAAAAAAAATCCAAGCAATCAGTGGATTACCTCGAACCACCTCTTCCACAGACTCTGTGGTGGTGGTGGTGGTGGTGGTGGCTATGCTGGTGGTTTTCTCTGTGGCCTCTTCATAGGGTTCCTCGGCCTCTTCCTCTCCCTCATCACCATCCTCCACATCCTCATCATCATCGGCTTCCTCTTCCTCAACATCTGCCACTTCTTCCTCCTCTGTTACCTCCACTACTTTGTCTTCACTGTAAGAGCAAACAGAAATAATTGTAATAGCCAAACAAATCTCAGGGAAGGAACAATAATCAGCAAGACATTTTCGTAATTTGACAGGGATTATGGCAATAAAGAAAAACTACACACAGAGCTTAAAGCCAGCAAGTTTAAGGATAAATTCCAGCTCAGCAGGTCTGAGAAACTCTTCGCTCTTGGACACACCTCCTCTTAGTTTATACAGATGCAAAAGAGAGTATTATGATTTCAACAATATGACATTCTAGAAAAGGCAAAGTTACGGAGACTCGAAAGAGATCAGTGATTCTCCATGTTAAAGGAGAGGGCAGAAGGGAGAAGTGAGTGGGAGCATAAAGGACTTCTAAGGTGGTGAAACTATTCCTCGATACCTGGCATTATGTCTTTGTCAAAACTCACAGAGTGGACACCACCAAAGGGAAGTAAAACATAAAATATGAATATGAATTAATGGTAATGCTTCAATATTGGTTCAGCTGCACCACACAAAGGCAAAATGTTAGGAACAGAGAGAGCTGGAGATGAGAGGAGGTAGAAAAGAATCTTTGTATTTCTATTGATATTTTCCACAACTTAAAACTGTTCTAAAAAAGACTATCAAAGGAGGAGGGAAGGATTATCAAAATCAAGTTTAGTGTATTACAGGAATTATTCTCATGTGAGAAAGAACCACACAGCACATATGCACGGAGTGTGGGTGTGGACTGGTTCAGAAACTACTTCAGTAAGCTTAACTGCATACAGAAGTGGGAGAAGAAATTGACTTAAACACCCCGTGGTGGGGATGCCTGCTGAGCTACGAATTTGAGCTCTCTACTTTGTTAATTGCTTACGTCTACAGCATAACAAATATTTCATTGGTTCTCAAATTTCAGCAAGCACTCATGATCGCCTAGAAAGCTGATTAAAACACAGACCACCAGGCCCCAACTCCAGAGTTTCTGAATCAGTGGGTCTGGGATGCATTCTGAGAATGTACATTTTGGACAAGTATCCAGGTAATGCTGACAGTTTGGCAGGGAGCAAGATATTTTTTCATTGAAATCTTTAAAAAAATATTTATTAGTACATGTTTGTAGTGCATAATGATTACATTCACTGTGCGGAGTTGGCACATGTACATAACACATCTTAAATTTTTTTCATCCCTTCCCCTTCCCCTGCCCTTCCTCCTTCTCCCTCTCTTAGTGAGCAAGATTTTGAGAACTGGTGAAACACACAACTCTGAGAACAATGGCATGAGACAACCAGTAACCCACAGTAACATGTGCAAGAGGATCAGACATACCATATATGGCATTAAATACCTATGTGCTCAAGCACAAATGGTGAGTAATAAATCACCAAGACTCGAAAACAAAAGGAGGATGTGTCCAGGAAAAAATTTAAAAGGCCTATTAAATCCTTGTGTTAATCATGTGCAGACCCGTACTAGGGCATTGGAGAGAAGATAATGGAAGACAGAGTATCAGTGTTAGACAGTAAAGGTCTATGGCATATTACCTGGCAAGAGAGGAGAGGAAGAGATAACCTCGATCAGATCACAAAACCAAGGAAACCAGGAAAAAGACTTGGATGTGGAAGAGGACTTCCAAGTTCATGAGCAGCTTCCATTTTGAGAAGAACCACAGCAACGGGGTAGAGGGCTGCCGTGTTATCATTCAAACGTCCCCACAACAAAATAAAGTGCAGGGGCGTTATTAACCTGGAACTGACTCTAGCCAACAAAGAGAAGCTCACTGTCGGGAAAAGCGATAGGAAACTGCAATGTTTGTCTCAGCCACGCTGTGAGGTCTTGAAACAGCGTAGGTCCAGTGATGGAGGAGATCACATTTCAAACGTGTGAAGGAAGAACGGTATGATTCCACCCCTGGCCTAGGATGGCTCCACAAAGATGAAAGGCTTTCAAAATTCAACATCTGATAGTCAACCCAAGAAATTCTGCTGAGAGAACAAAGGGAAAGTATGTAGAGACGAACATGTATTAGAGGGAATTCTTTGGTTACTTCAGATAAAGAATTTTTTTACATGTTGTATAAAGATATGTATAACCAATGCCCTGGGAATATCTACCTGTGACTACATATGTTGCAAGCATAGGATAAAGAATTTTTTCCAAATTTCTATTAAAAGGTGTCTGCCCCCCCCTTCTAACTCTGGTTAAATCTAATGCAAGGGTAATGAATCATCCAGAGTGGTCTGAAGCATTTGGCTGTAAAGAACAAAAAGCAACTTATTAAGCAGAGTAATTTAATTATACGTTTATATATTACATAGAAGCCCCTACCCGGTTATTTTTACATTTCCATAAGACTATGAAGAACTATGTGGAAAGACGGAGGCGAACACTAGCACTGATAACAGACAATAGAAGCCTTCAATTGCTTACGGGTAAATGGGGTAAAATAATTGATTTGCTGACTGACTACAGAAACATTTCTGCAAAGTCTACTTGAGGTAACATTTCAAAAGGATACTAAATTTGACAGTTGCTTAGCTGTCCCAAAATGTACTGCTTTGGCATTCATCTACAGAATCTCAAAATAAAAAATAAAGGTGACCTGATATATATATCATCAGTTTACTGATACGTCTTCTTTATTCAATCCAAATCATAAGCACGATATTGTTTATTTGTCCCATTTAAGTGGAAAATCAAAGCAAAGCCACAAAGAAAAGTTAAAACGAGATCAAGGCAGTATCCTCCTTAAACCAGGAACTGTGCACACAATCTTACAGCCCGACTAGAGTAACAGTGTCTAAGTGTCTGATGTGGGCTTAAGACAGCACCGTGCTGCCGGGTGGCATGGTGAAAACAACACCCTCCCCAGCCTTTTCTGTTATTACTGGAATGTTGCTCTTAAAGCTCCACACAGAAAGCATGCCTGTGAAAACAGCTGTTTCAAGTGATCAGCATTCTGCCACACGTCTGGCCATGAAAGAGGGTAAATTACATGCCCATCATCTATCACTGCATCTGCCTGCGCAATTTACTGGCATAATAACACGGGGCAGGGAGAGATAACAGTTCAACTGGCTGAGGAATTAAATTACTTGGCCTGAGAAAACTCAGGTCCAGTTCTTACTACCATGCTTTGATTTCTGGAATTAAATTTAGATGTCCATGAATTCAATTATCTATTTGCACACTGTTTAAAAGAGATGATGCTGCATCTTCCCTAAGAATACTAAATATACCAAAATTACAACTTTTAATTGCAGTTTTCATGAGTACCGGGAAACACTAAAAGGAAAATAATTACTTTCCACTGTCATTTCACATGTCAAACAATTGTTCTGTGATGTGACCAAGGCAAGGCGATTTTGAAAGCTCAGAGGAGGTATAGGAAACCTCAAGGAGGGGCTGGGCATGTAGCTCAGTGGTGCCGCGCCTGCCTGGCAAGGGCAAGGTTATGAGTTCAATCCCTGTAACAAACAACAAAACAAAACAAAAAATGAAAACTTGTGAGGTAGCAGTTTATGGAATTTTAAAGCTGAGCATCACAGAACAACTTCCTACAAAACTCACAGTAGAACATTCACTTGATAACACGGTAGAATATTCATAACACACTCACAAACTTTAAAGGCTGCCAATCTAGAGCAATTGGACTTTACAGATTTTACATACTAATAGTAACAAATGCATACTATCTGAATGAATGAGAAAACTATCTGAAAGTGCTGACCATTCCAGGAGCATCTGAATGTAATAAAGAAGTCAAAGGGACACAGCTACAAGGCAATAAATCACTGATGGTAAAATTTTATGCGTCAGCATGCAAGAGTTCTCACTGGCAAAGGAGTAACTGTTTTGCAAAGGTGACGCCTTTTATTTCTAAATAAAGGCTGACCTTGTTATAATTCTACTTGCAGCTGCCTCCTGATAGTTTCTTTAGATAGTATGATTCACACACCACTTCTAATTCCTTCGTATCAAATCTTGCACAACAATTCACCACTGACATTCTCCAGAAAGTCATCAAACATTCTAGAAAAGACAAAATTAGACAGTAAAAGGATCAGTGGCTACCAGGACTAAGAGGAAGGGGAAGATGGGCATGCAGAGCACAGAGAAGTAGAACTATTCTGTATGACAGTGTCATTAAACATCTGTCCAAACTTACAGGACGCACACCAAGGATGAACCCTAATGTAAACGATGGGAGTCTGGGTGACACTGATATGTCAGTGGAGGTTGAATAACTATAACAAATGTACCCGTGTGGTGGGCACGCTGGTGATGGTGGAGACTGCGGGTGGGGTGGTAAAGGGTACATGGGGCATCTCTATACCTCCTGCTCTATTTTGTTGTAAACCTAAAATGGCTCCCAAACAGGCTTTAAAAATAAATAAATAAGCAAATAAATAAATAAATAAATAAAAACTTCTCAAGGCTGTATTCATTCACAGTCTCTGTTCAGCCTTTTTCTTTCTATTGTAGGACAAATGACGGAGAGGAAAGGTCAGAGGGAACACTCTGATGTGAATGGAAATAATCACAGGATCTAGACTTCTGTAGTGACCAGGGAAGGGTGAAAACAACCCACATCTGTTCCCAAGATGCAACAACCAGGGCAAAGGCCAGGGAGCCAGATCTCCACGGGAAGCTGCTCAGGCCCATGAATGCTGGTATGGAAAAGAAGAAAGGGTCTCTGAGAGTGGCCTAGGGTCAGGAACAGAGACACAACAAAGCGGGTTTTGCACAAAGAAAAACAGATGATCCCCCCACCTCTGCCTTAGCTCTTAGGGCTGCCAGAGTTTTACAACTGCAAAGTACAATGGCTGGATAAGTCACTGTGTCCCAAAACAATGCAGTTTCTGAAATTACTGCTGTTAAATTAGGAAAATCAGAACTTGCAGAAAATGTGAACGAGAACTTGCAGAAAATGTGAACGGAAACTTGCTCTCTTTGCTTCTGAGGAAACATTCAAGAAAAAGCCATTATCTCTACTGTTTCAAGGCACCAATGAAGCCAAGCACAAGAGACATG